CAGTTTATCGGCGTCAGCTGGCACGAGCCCCGCGACATGGAGTGCGTGCTCGAGTACATGAACCGGGGCAACCTCCAAGACTACTTGGCCCGGCACTCGCCAACGACGTACACGTGGGCGGCCAAGCTGGAAGCGATCGTCAGCGTCGTCCGCGGCCTCATCTACCTCCACACGTTTGATCCGCCGATCATCCACCGCGATCTGCGCTCCCGGAACGTCCTCTTGGACGCAGACAAAGGCACCAAGATCAACGACTTTGGCTCGTCGCGCGAGACGTCCGAGCACTCGATGACCAACGGCGTCGGGTCGTACCAATGGGCCGCCCCCGAGCTCATTCTTGGGTCGCTCTACAACACGTCGGTCGACATTTACTCGTTCGGTACGCAGTGTTGTTGCTAGGGGTGGGTGATGCATCGAGGGTAGGGGTACTCTTGACCGAATTTTCGACCCACCACGCGCCGTATGCGCGGACGCTGGACCCGTCGACGGGTCGCGTCTTGACGCAAGACAAGGTCATGCAGCTCGTCACGAAAGGCCAGCTCGTGCCGGACTTTGATTGGGCGCGGTCGCCGATCTGGCTCATTGAGATTGCGCAACGATGCTTGGCGACCGAGCCCGAGAAGCGCCCGACCGCCGTTGCCCTCGCCGGCCTTTTGGACAAGCACCAATTCGAGGTTACCGAGGCGTAGTCCCGTTATAACTCTCGTAGTCGGAAAAGTAATAATCTATACAATCAGCATTTTAGCATCTACGCGACGACCAGCGTTATCCGCGAGACGGTGCTGTGCATCTCGCAAATTGAAGACGTTGTCATCGATGCACGCATGACGTTCCAGCTCATTTTGTTGCAGCCACGTCGCCTGCTTACTGTCTATTCTGGAGTCGCGGATGACGGTCGCGTCGGTCACCTTGGACGCACATTTTAAGCCTACGATCGCAATGGCTTTTGCGTGGTGACCAGAGTGGGACGTGATGACGCACGATGTCAGGTACAACTATTGAACGATGTTCGACAACAACTATATAATAGTGTACGAGACGACGTGTTCAGGCGCTCGGATGTTGCAGCTTCTTCTTTCGTCGCGCCGAACGCTCGAGTCTTCGAATCTGCTTCAACTGTGCTTCGATCGCCTCTTTTAAGTGTGCGTTTTCGTGCTGGGAGCGGCGCGTCGCTCGAATCTCGTCGCGGGCGCGGTTGAACCACGGGTTCGGGTGGTCGCCATTCGCAGCGTCGGCCGCCAAGAGTGTTTGCAGCTGCACTTTGAGCGTCTCGCGCTGTGCGAGGAGGTAGTCGTGCTCTTCCTTTGCATTCCGGAAGGGCTTGGTGGTGGCAGTGATTGGCGACGACGGTGGTGAGAGCGACAGCGCCGCCAACTGCTCATCGCCCAACGCTTCCTGGCCGTTATGGGCGGGGCTGCCCGTGGGGGTGCCGAAATCCATAGTGGGTGCCAAGAAGGCCGAGAGAGCGGCGACCGAAATGCTCCCGTCGTCGACCTCTTCATTGTCGTCGAGCGTCGTGTCGAAGTGAAAGCTCGGGCGCGCCATGTCAAGGGAGATGAAATGAGGAGGAAAATGATAAATGAGCTATCTTCCTACATGCTTCAACATGGAAAATCTCGTCCATGATGATTTCTTTGGCGCTGGACAGTGTCCAACATGCACGAGCGCTGAATGAGCTTGCTACGTGTGACCGTCGAGACTAGGAGAGAGTCGGAGCGACAGCTGGTTCGTTGGCTTGGACACACGCTGTCGACCGCACGTTACGCGTACGCCCACAAGCCCATGCACCTTGCACTCGAAATCACCGTGTTGGACAACTATACTAATAAATGTACAAAAGGACGATGTGTACCGCTTGCAAAGTTGGCTTATTGGACAATCCGTGGGAAGCAGGCCCGAGTGCAATGGCGCGCTTGTAGGAGATTTGTTGAAGTGGCTGTCCACAGCAGGGCTACACTAACGGGACTTATATTCGGACTTGGCTTGACCTTACTACTATAGTCGATGCGGAGGAGGTACATATGAGACAGGTGTCGAGTCTCGGCGTGGCAGTGCCATGTCCAGAATAGAGTGGTTGTCAAGAATGTGGGTCAGGAGTGATGGTCAGTAGCGTCATGTGTCCGAAGGTCTGTCCACGGGCATTTGTCACATATGACGAGTTGCAACAAATCGATTTCATAAACGCACAGCTGGCTCAAGTCGATCTCGAGTAGAAAATGTGAGCGTGGAACTACCGGTACATATGTGGTGCCACACAAACGCGTACCAAGAATCACAGTCAGTACAAAGCAAGTTGATGGATCGATACGGGTTGATATTCGATATAGTATTGCGAGGTTGCATGTCACCCTTAGATGGCGCTGCTTTTGTGCTGGAACGAAAACTGAAAATGGGCGGCTCGGATAGCAAACAGCCCACGAGATGTCGGAGTTTCGGCCAATCCGCGTACCGCAAAACGTCATGCGCGCTTGCATTGGCTATTTATCGGTTGCGACAAGCAGGTGACTCACGAATCAACGATGTCGATAGCTGTTATGGCGCTCTCATTGGTCAAAAGTTGGTCCGTCGCCGTTGTGACCCAACATCGTTCACATTTCCAAGCAAAGCTTAAGTCTTGTACGAGACGTAAAGTACGACGTGATGGTCGTTCTTTATATATGTTATCTACGACAAGAATGTCCACCTTTATATATATCGACAGTCGATTGTTTCACTATCTACTGGACGTTCGTCCAAGGAGATGGCGCTGGAGAAGCCGTCGCAGTCGCATGTGTTCGTTGAGAGCGTCGAGAAGCTGCGCGTTCTCGCGCCTCGCCCGCTGGAGCGCCATGCCTTCGGCTTTTGCCTGGGCGTACCAGGCATTGTCGGATGGACGTCGAACCTTGCCGTGGCGGTGCTGGAGCTCCGTCAGCTGCGACTGAAGGGCCGTGATCATGAGCTCGAGCTCAAGCGCGCGGTTCCGTCGACGTCGGTGGTGCATGGCTGCCGGCGCGGGATCTTTCACGCCGTTTGCGATAAAGGGCGAGAGTTCGTCCGACGACGTGGAGACGAGATCGTCCAAGTCCAAGTTGGGCAGTCGCACAGGCAGCACGTCCGGCAAGTGTGTGAGCGCTGCTGGATGCATCAGAGTACACGATAGAACACAAGCGATGCCTCTGGAGACGAGAAACCGCAAATGACAAATTCAGCCAGCTCAAATCCAAAGAATTCATTCTGTCTCGAATGGCTGGCTGCTTTACAACCAAACTACAAGGTACACAACGTACCAGTCAAAGCGCAGCCCATAGCTCTTGTGTCACCCTCTACACGACGATTGCCACCACGATAACCACGGTAAACCTTTTGAATTCGTAAAATATGGTTATCGAAAAGGCGTCTCGACCCGTGCAAGGATCGTTTGGAGCGTGTAACGTGGTCCACGAAATCTTTGAGCAGAGGCGTACTTCGACTGTCCTTCGAGGCGTGGTGGGATTCTCGATGCCGATACGTATATAAGCGAGAATTCTTTCGAGCAAAAAAGTTCACAATAGTGCTACTTTGTAGTGCTGTCGAAAAGAGCAGCGAGCGGTGCCGAGACCCGCGCCAAAAGCGCTCTACTTGGTGAGGTATGATGTACGAAGTTGAGTGGCGTGATCCGAAGCGGCGCCTGTCCACATTGGAATGATGGTCAAGAGTGATGGTTTTACAGGACATCTGGGATTGCTGCGTTTGGTGGTGAAATGATTTGGAGTTGTGATGGCTGTGTGCGAGGTGGTCCCAATACTATACATGCAGATAGTGCCCATGTATGCTTCAGGTTGGAGCAAACGTACGTCGATTTGCATTAAAACTCGAACGATACGATCT